ATATATTCTTTAGGATGGTACTGTTTTGTAAATTGGGGTGATTATTGCCTGACTTGACTTTGTGCCCTGAGTTTTTTCTCAAGAGCAGTAATAAATGGAGTCCTCCTTACTCCCACCTTGCTTGTATGCATCTTTTGAAATGCTGCCTGGGTTTGGGAGGACAAGTTGTGACTGGAGAGTGATGCTCCTATGAAGTGAAGCCAAGAGAGCCTTGATTCTCACACCAACACTTAAAATCTTCAGTTGGTGAGGAAGGTAAAGCTCAGGGATTGGAGACAGAGACTTGGATTGTTGTCTCTGTTCACCATTTAGTGGCAGTCAGTCAAATTTCCATTTTCTCCCTGAAAATGGAATTTATGACCATCTGTGAACATTCTAAACGTAGAGTATAAAAGTACAGGGTGCAAAACTGTAAAGGATAATTATTCTTGGCTTCTATTTTGCCATTAATGCACTGAGATTCTTGAGTTTGGACTTCCTAACAACTCAACCATGTCGACTGGCTGTTTCGACATTGCAGTTATCACTACTAAGACTTCAAGCCTTAGCCTCAGTAGCATGATCTAATCATCTTTGTCCGACTGACTTTGATTCAGTCAGCACATCTACTAAGTGGCTCATATGTGCCAAGTGGCGTGCTAGATACAGCAGGAAGCAAGACCTGTCTTGATGTTGCTTACAGTCCAACAGGGCAGGTAGACATCAAAGTAACTTGTCAGTTTATCACAAGCGATCCATCACAAGTGCAATGGATGTGGTAAATCAGGATGTTCCACGAGTGTGTGACAGGCTGGCCTGACCTACTTCCTAGTGAGTGGGAAGGAAAAGCAGAGAAGTCTGCACACAGCAGAGGTTTTCAAAGCGTGGTTTTCAGAGCAGCAGGGATATTTACTAGAAATGCAAATTCTCAGGCTTACCCAGACCCGCTAAATCAAGCTCCCAAGGTGGGAACCAGCCCTCTCTTTTAACAAGTTCTGGTGATTTCGATGCACATTAAAGTTTAAAGTAATGACCTAGAGGAAATAACATTTAAGCTGAGCACTAAAGCTGTACTGGACTATGGCTCCTGGACTATGGCTGTTGAGCACTTTAAACATGGCTAATGCAAATTGAGATGTGCCTTAAACACACAATACACCCTGGGTTCCAAAGACTAACTGTTATGAAAAAAGAATGTTAAAGACTTAATAATTTTTACATGGATTATATACTATAATGATGATATTTTGGACCTATACAATTAAATAAACCATAGGAAAATCAATTCCACCTATTCATTTTTACCTTTTTAGTGTGACTTTTAGAAATTTTTTTTTCTTTTTTTTTTTTTTTTTTTTTGCTATAGGGCACATGCGCTCGCCAGACAGAGAGAGACAGAGAGACAGAAAGTGAGAAGTCACCCTCCAGGGGGGATGGCCATGCCGCAATCCCTTCTTCTCCGTTCTCCACTAGGGATCTTGGACACGCACACACACGCGCCCGGTGTGAGTTTTAAGCCACTGAGTCCAGGATGTGAACCACGGTCGACTACATGGGAGTCCAGCGACATAGCCATTATGCTAACTGCTGGTCCCAATTTTTAGAAAATTTTAAATTACACAAATGGCTTGCATTCTATTTTGATTGGGTAACTGACCTAAGGGATGACTAAAGAGTACCTAAAGCAGGGTAAGACTAGAGTGGCATTGGAGGGAAGGCAGTGGTGGGTGTACTATGTAGGATACAGTATATACAAAGCTACTGAGTCAAGAAAGCACCTGGCATGCTCAAAGAAATAGAGGAAACCCAAGGCCTTTTAGGTCACATTAAAGCTTTTAAAATGTATCTTAAAGACCAACAAGAAGAAATGGAGTGTTATTCATTGGATGCTCAATTTTCAGGAAGTTCACATCTAATAAACAAGTAGAGCAATAGAGCTGCAGGTGAATATAGCCAGAATCTTGAAATAAAATCTTCCCCCACCTAAAGATGGCAGGGGAGGGGGCATTTGGGCAGGAAATACCATTGAGGGACCAGGACCCTGTCCATCATCTGCACTGACCCTGGCCCTAGGGTATAAGGCATGTGAGCTTCTCA